ATGCGTCTTTTCAAAGCTTCCGCTTTCAAGTTCAATGCTTTGTTTTATCTACAGAAGCGGGAGGCAGACTTCCTTTTTATACCTCTCCGCTTTCGGCCAGATTCCCTTCAAATTTGTACAGTTCCTTAATTGCATAAAATCCTACTCACGGATCGTTGATTTTCAAAGCCAAATTTCCAAGAAAGAAAGGCAGCGCTCTCTGGTCACAGCTGCGCGGCTTCACTCCACGGAAGAAGCAGATGACTCACAGCACAGCGCTCCTTCCCCCGTTCCGTTCCGGAACCCGTTGCCGGGCTCCTTCACGGATTGAGGGGGGCGCAAAACGTGCCCACCGAGTCCCAGGTTCACAGGCTTCCCCCACCTGTGATTTCAAGGGTCCCCCGCTGCGCTGAAGCGGGATCCGACCCTATTTTCCGTGGAGCAATTCCCTCCGATTAGAGTGAATCCGCCATTAACCGATGGCGCCACCTCCAGAAGTCCATTTCATTATAAAAATTAATTAAAATCAAATTGATGGCAACCCTTAAGCAAAATTCTGTGCAGATTGCCAGAGAAGGGAGTCAGGCTGTGCCCTGACCAAAGGCCTGGTGGAACAGCTCTGTCTTGCAGGCCCTGCGGAAAGATGTCAGGTCCCGCAGGGCCCTAGTCTCTTGTGACAGAGCATTCCACCAGATTGGAGCCGCAGCCGAGAAAGCCCTGGCTCTAGTTGAGGCCAGCCTAACCTCTCTGTGGCCTGGGACCTTCAGGATGTTTTTATTTGTAGACCATAGGTTCCTCTGTGGGACATACCAGGAGAGACGGTCCCATAGGTACGAGGGTCCTAGGCCGTATAGGGCTTTAAAGGTTAAAACCAGCCCCTTAAACCTGATCCTGTACTCCACCGGGAGCCAGTGCAGCTGGTATAGTATAGAGTTGGGTATCATCGGCATACTGATGGCAACCCAGCCCAAAACTCCGGACAAGCTGGGCGAGGGGGCGCATAAAGATGTTAAAAAGCATCGGGGAGAGTATCGCACCCTGAGGCATTCCACACACCAAGGAGTGGCGCGATGACAATCCCCCCCCAAGCGCCACACTCTGACCCCGACCAGAGAGAAACAAGCGCAGCCATTGAAGGACTGTGCCCCTGGATCCCCACGTCGGCAAGGCGGTGGTCCAGGAGTTCGTGATCGACCATGTCGAAGGCTGCTGACAGGTCTAGAAGAATCAGCAGCCCCGACCCGCTTCGATCCAGCTGCCTGCAGAGATCGTCTGTTAGGGCGACCAGAGCCGTCTCAGTCCCATGACCAGTGCAGAAACCGGACTGGAATGGATCCAGAGCTGATGTTTCATCCAGAAACCTGCCAAGCTGTTCAGCAACCGCTCTCTCAATCATCTTACCCAGGAATGGAAGATTCAAAACCAGGCGGTAATTGGATAGACCTAAGGGATCTAATGATGTTTTCTTTTAGAGTGGGCGCACCACTGCCTCCTTCAGTTCCCCTGGGAATATCCCGGTGCCAAGGGATAAATTGATGATATCCCCCAGGGGGGCCTGCACCTCGTCTGGACACGCTCTAATCAGCCAAGACGGGCACGGGTCGAGAGGACAGGTGGTGGGCTTTCCAGCTCGGAGGAGTCTGTCCACATTGGCTGGGGATATCCGGTCAAAGTGGTCCAATACTGGACCCGAGGACAGTCGAGGGGCCTCCAGTTCCTTTAGTGTATCCAAATTGGCAGGGAGGTCATGGCGGAGCAACAGGACCTTCTCCGCAAAAAAGCTCGCAAATGCCTCACAGCTGTGTGTCAAATTGTTATCTAAATTTGGCTGTCCTTCAAGGGACGTTAAAGACCTGATTATACTAAATAATTGTGCTGGGCGAGAGCTAGCGGATGCAATGGAGACCGAGAAGTAAGACTTCTTAGCGGCCTTCACTGCCATCTCATAGGTTTTTATAAAAACCCTATAAGATGTTTTTGAGGCTCCGTCACGGGCACCCCGCCATACTCACTCTAGCCGTCTGAGGTCCCGCTTCATTTTCTGAAGCTCCTTGGTAAACCAGGGAGCCCGGTTTCCGTGGGGTCGCAGAGGGCGCTTAGGTGCGATCTCATTGATGGCTGCCAGGAGCTGGATATTCCCGCCCTCAACTAGCTCAGTCAATGAGTCGCCAGGGGGAGCAAGGTCCCGCAAGGCTTGGCGGAATCTCTCAGGGTCCATCAGCCTCTGCGGACGAGCCCAAATCGGCTCGCCACCTAAGCAGGGTGGGGGTTGAAAGTCAATCCTGGCTTTCAGAGCGTAGTGATCAGACCATGGCACCTTCATCGAAGGAGACATGATCACATCTATACAAACGCCAAAGATCAAATCCAGCGTGTGGCCTGCTTGATGTGTGGGGCCCGAAACAAACTGGGAGAGCCCTAGCATTGCCATGGAAGACGCCAGGTCCAGAGCCTGTGAGGAGGGAGTGGCATCGGCATGGATGTTGAAGTCCCCCAATACCAATAGGTTAGGGAACTCAAAGGCCCAGGGAACTACACCACACTGCTTCTCATTCTCCAACACTGGAACACGTGGACATCCAATGAAGTTGAATGTTGGAAGGTTCAGGAGATAGGGATGCCCACCCACTTGGATGGTTTTAAAAGTGGATTGGACAACCAAGATGTCTATGCTCTGCCTCTATACTGGAAGCAAAAATCTTCCAAATACCGATTGCTGGAAAGCACAGGAAGGGAGAGTGCGCTTGATTGCTGCTTTTGAGAAGTCATCTGCTGGTAACTGAATGGTGGCTGAGAAGAGACATTGGCCTGATCCAGAAGCTTATACCTTCCATATTCTCTGCTCTGGGCTCCCCAAACACATTTAAATGGGAAGCATCTTAAAAGATATTGCAATATAGCTGCTCTGGTTCCTTCTTCTCCCAAGTATTTCCCCCCATCTAAATTGCCTCCTTTCCCGGCAGCTATTAGGAGGAAAAATTCAATGTAGATCAGCCAAATGACTCCAGAGGCTTCTCCTACACTGCAAAATCTGGCTAATCAGTTTGAGGTCCTGCAGCTGCTTGTCAGTTAAAATTAAAATCTTGCAACACCGATTATGATATCTGTGCTTTTAGAATCAGGTTGATCAGTGGACATTATCAGACAGGAACAATTATCTTAATACAAAATGAAGTTTCACTATGTGACTTCACAGAACAAGCTGCTGTCAAAGGCACAAAGCAATAATCTTTCAGGTTATTTGGCAATCCTAGCAGCTCTTGACAGAGGCTGAATTAAGGTCACCCCATGGAATTCCTTCCCCATTCATTGCCTTATTGATTTTAGTTGTTTCTAATACTTTTTTAAATGGTCATACATTTATTATTATTATTATTATTATTTTAGTTTTTCTAATATTTTATTAAGGATTTTCTTGTTTTACAGAAGTAAGTGTAATGTCTCGTATTTTTTTCCCATGTAACATTTTTACAAATCCATTTCATTTGTTGAGGCATTAGGGGGAGAAGAAGAAAAAAAGGAAGGAAGGAAAAAGAAAGGGGGAGTGGGGGGAGGGAAGATGGATGGGGGTGGGGTCGGGTGGCGATGTTTCTATTATGCTTAATGTATGTAGAGTTTGGTGTCAGCGTTACTTGTGTTCCTTTGGTGGTGAGAGAGGTTGGGGTTGGCTTAGGGTGTGATTGGCTGTGGTGATCTTTGTTTTCGTGCGTGAGTGAGGTGGGTGGGTGTTTTGGATCAGGTTAGCCATATTGATTTGTATGCTGTTGGTGGATTATTGTCATTGTCTTGTTGGGCTGTGTATGTGATAAAGGGGAGCCATACCGGGGTATGTCCCCATGTCAGTTTCAGTTTATTAGTTAATTTTTCTAGTAGGGCTGTTTCCCATACTATTTGGTACCATTGGTCCATGCTTACTCCTGACAGGTCTCTCCAGTGTCTGGTTATGGTGTTCCTGGCTGCTGAAAGTAGGTGGGTTATGAGTTCTTTGTGGTGTAAATGGGCATTGTTGTCTTGGAAGATGTTTAGTAGGGCCAATTCTGGGGTGATATCTAATACTTGCTTAGTTATTTTACATATTTCTCGTATGGCTGTTGTCCAGAATAGTTGGATTTTGGGACACTCCCACCACATGTGGAGGTATGTGCCTGTGGAGGTGCACCCTCTCCAGCATTTTGGTGAGGTTCCTGGGCGTATTAGCGCTAGTTTCCTTGGTGTTAGGTACCACCTGTAGGTGAGTTTCAGTGTGAGTTCTTTTCTTTTCGTTGATATGGATTTAAAGGGGGGTTTAGAGCACATTCTGGTCCATTGAGTGGGGTTAATCTCATAGCCTATGTCATTCTCCCATTGTTTTTTGATTGCGTCTAGGGGGTTTGTGGGATTTTGGAGTAGTATTTTGTATATTGCGGTACCGTCCCTTTACCGTTTCCCTTTGTTGTTAGGAGGAGGTTTTCAAAGGTTGTCAGGGGCCTAGTTGCTGCTAATTTTACTGTTGGGTTGTTTAAGAGGGCATGTAGTTGGTGTTGTGTTAACCAGGGCATTTGGGTGTCTTCTAGTTTGTCTTGTATTTCTTGTGTTGACAAAGGTTTGTTATTTTTATAAAAGTCTATTAGGCGATATAAGCCTTTGGTTCGCCAGGTTTTTATCTGGAGGTTGTGTGCTGCATGGTGGAATAATGGGTGGTACGCCAGGGGGATTAGTGGGGATGGGGTTGGGGATAGTTTGCCTATTTGTGTTTTCCATGCTTTGAGCATGGTCTGTATACATTTTATTTTTGATATACAGTGGTACTTCGGGTTACATACGCTTCAGGTTACATACACTTCAGGTTACAGACTCCACTAACCTCAGGTTAAGAACTTCAGGATGAGAACAGAAATCGCGCTCCGGCGGTGCAGCGGCAGCAGGAGGCCCCATTAGCTAAAGTGGTGCTTCAGGTTAGGAACAGTTTCAGCTTAAGAACGGACCTCCAGAACTAATTAAGTACTTAACCCGAGGTACCACTGTATTGGGAGTCACTCAGGTCACATTTTGTGGGAAAGTGGAATAAAGATAAGCAGATGATGATACAGATAATCCCTGGCCTGATCCAGAGCATGGAAACAAAACAACAAAAAGCTACCTTTGTTCCCCACTTGTTCTTTCACCCACTCCGTCGCTGCCGCAACGCTCTCTGTACTGGTGACATCCAGAACGGTGGTTTTCAAGCGCTCTGAGGTGACCTTGTCCAGCTGCTCTGCCCCCTTCTGGGTGGTACAGGTTGCCAACACCCACAGACCCCGGGCATCCAGATGCCTGGCAAGGTGGTTCCCAAAGCCAGAGGAACAGCCTGTGATGAAGACATATTTCTCCGTCAGGTTCTCCACCGTCTGTCTCTCCTGGTACCATCGGCGAAGGAAATAAAGCCCCAGCAGGGCAGCTAGGTAGAGCCACATGGCTGAAACCTGCAGGGAAGAAGTTTGCAAGAATGAGGGCACACAGGCACCTAGCAAGCCTTGGAGAAACCAAATCCCAACCCCTGCTCCACCATGAAGCTCACTGCTCTATTTAGCCTCCCTCGCAGTGTTACTGAGGGGAAGGAGAAATGAAGCAATGAGCTGCTTGCAGCAGAGGCAAGCTAAAACAAGTATAAACAATAGCTCTAGCTAGCTGCTTATTCACTGAACAATCAAATGAAGAGGAACAGTATGATCCTATAAATATCTAGACATAAGCAACACTAAGCTCAGATATTGTGCAAGCCCAGCATTAGCATCCAACAGGTCATATGCCTTATTTTGCCATCACTGCATCACATATTGCACTTGCTCAAGGTCCAATCCCCAATTTGTTTTGTTTGTTAATTTTATTTTTCAAGTTTTCAGTTTTACAAAAGATCTGAAATGCAGTACATCTTCAGAAATAAAAACATAATTTGACTTCCCTCCTCCCCTTCTGTTTCATCTTCTGGTTTCACTTTTATCACTGCATTTCCCCTATAGTTCCTTATAATTGTTACTGTCTAGTTTCCAAACAAGTTATTATTTCACTTCTTGTGTTGTGTTCTTCCTGCTAATGTAGTTAAATGTTTGCAAATATTTTTTAAATAATCCACGTATTTCCCCCATTCTTTAGTGATTCTTTATTGACCTGATTTTTAAACACATATGACATATTTTGTCATATGATGAACTGGAGAATACAATGAGAAGTACAAGATCAAGAGATGTTTTTCCAATTTAAGCAGATCAATTGCGCGCATCAGGAAATATAGCTCCACTTTTTGTTTTCTTTCTTGCCCTCTCTCTCTCCCTCTCTCTCTCTCTCTCTTTCTCCATGTATAAGAGGCCCATAAAAGTGCCTTTTTATATTCAGAACATAAGAAAAATGTGTGTGTGTTTGTGTGTAGATGTGTGTACACACCACACACACGCTAGGGCAAATGTACTTGTATTTTTCCTCTTTTTTCTGAATTTAATGAGCAAATATTCCATGCCCAGCCTAACTGGAAGGATCTGTTCCCTCCTAGTAACACCTAGAGGGCATCAGAGGCAGAAGCAGAGAAGAAATCTGAAATCTGAAACTGGTACATGCCACCAGCCAATGGGAAAAGGCCTCCAACACTTCTGGACTGAAGGTTTAAAAGTCCAAGCATTGGTTGTGTAACACAAAGGACACCAAGTTCAGGAGCAACACCCCATCAACTGCCAGCAGTTGAAAGTTCTACAGATGAGGTAAGAAACTCATAAAAATAATTGTTCAGTCTTTGATTTTTCATGGCTATGTTTAAAGGCATCTTCTGACATCTGTGCAAGGAGCAAGGTTTGTGTTTGTCCTCCAGCACACCCTTTCCGGGCAGTGATGATGAACCTATGGCTCAATGGCTGTGTTGCTTAATCTTGTACAGTCATACCTCGGGTGGAATGCGCTTCGCGTTGAGCACATTCAAGTTGCGCTCCGTGGCAACCCGGAATTAACGGAGCTCATTACTTCCGGGTTTCGCCGCTTGCGCATGTGCAGAGGCTCAAAATGACGTCATGCGCATACGCAGAAGTGGCGAAAAACGGTGCGCGCATGCGCAGACGTGCCATCACTAGTTATATATGATTCTAGATGCAAACGGGGCTCCAGAACGGATCCCGTTCGTATCCAGAGGTACCACTGTATTGGCTTAATTTAATGTGTATGCGTGTGCAGACACAAGTGAATGCGCAAAGCCTGAGGGAGAGGAAAGCAGACAGGGGAAATCCGGGGGGGGGCTGAAGTGAACAGAGAGTGAAGAGTGGAGAGAAAAGGGTGGCCAGCCCTCAGCCAGAGGGTTATGCTTTCCCTGGCAGTAATCTGGACCTACAAACCTACAGAGTCTCTCCTGTGTCAATCAGAGTTGCTTGATCCATGATCCAGGGAAGAACGAAGAAGATGCTTCTTGAGAGCTTAGAGTGAAGAGGGGGTCCCATTGGTGTGTGTGAGCTACCCAACATTAAAAAATGTGTGGGTTAAGTATTCTGCTCCAATGTTAACCTGCAGAGAAGGGAAGGTTCTTTCTGAATGAGTGAGTCTCATAGCACCTTTATGAAACATTTATTTACGTGACATTAAGCACTTTCCTTCCATACATTCTTATTCTGGATACTCCACAATAGAGACCTTGATTGAAAGCAACACAGGCCTGTGGATCCTGATGCTACTTCTAAATAAAAAAGGTATTGGGAGATCTAATTGGGGATTCCTCACATATGTGTCCTTGACTATAACATTCTGCATGATTCATATTCTCCATGGAGATTTTAGCTGCCCTGCTGTTGATGCACAGGAGTGCCTTTGGCCCTTATACTCTGTCTGTTATCTTCCCTGCTGGTTTCAGCCATGTGGCTCTACCTGGCTGCCCTGCTGGGGCTTTACTTCCTTCGCCGATGGTACCAGGAGAGACAGACGGTGGAGAACCTGACGGAGAAATATGTCTTCATCACGGGGTGTGACTCTGGCTTTGGAAACCTACTTGCCAGGCAGCTGGATGCCCGGGGCCTGCGGGTGCTGGCAGCCTGTCTCACGCAGAAGGGGGCAGAGCAGCTGGGCAAGGGCACCTCAGAGCGCTTGAAAACCACCATTCTGGATGTCACCAGTACAGAGAGCGTGGCGGCAGCGACGGAGTGGGTGAAGGAGCAAGCAGGAAGCAAAGGTTTGACCAAACACAGTTCATTGAGTATTCTATTCTTATGGATATCATAGGCTGTATGTTGCATCCAATGTTTGGCTGCTTCTGAAACCAAGAAACCCACACTTTCTCTTCCTCACCAGTCTGGTAACATTTCCTTCTTTCCTTCCTTCCTTGTCTACATTTCATAAAATCTAGCACTGATGGGTTGTAAAAGAAAACAAAAAACTCAAAGTGGTTTCCAAAGAGTGTAAAACAATAAAATGATCTGTGGAAACAGTTAAAAACAACTACCTGAAACATTCAATAAAATAAAATCAGCAATAAGGTAAAAACGGATTAAGACTTTCAACATTCAACATGTATGGGTAGGCTTGTCTAAACACACACACAAAATTAGGAGGTGCCTGCCTGATGCCCATGGTCTGGCGGTTCCTATATGTAGGTGCTGCCACACTCAAAGTTCAATTTCCAACACCTACGGAATGGGTATTATGTAACGGTGCCAGTTCTGCAGATTGAAGTGGTCAATTGGGCATATATAGGATACGATGATCTCGCAGGTAAACTGGTCGCAAGCACTTAAGGGCTTTATATGCTAAAAATTTGCCTGGTAGCAAATAGGCAATCAGTGCAGTTCTCTGAGCAGACGTGTTATATGCTGGCAATGTCTCACTCCTGTCGCAACCATGCTGCAGCCATCTGCACTACCTGCAACTTCTGGACCAAGTGCAAGTGAAGTCCCACACAGAGCACATTGTAATCATCCACTCTTGAAGTAACCCATGCACGAATTCCTATGGCCAAGCTTTCCAGGTCCAGGAATGTTCATAGCTGTCAAATCACACCAGCTGGTCAAAAGCGCTTCTAGCCACTGAGGCTACCTGAGCTTCCAGTGACAGAGCTGGAACTGGAAGTACCCCCAAACTGTGAACCTGCTCCTTCATGGGGCGTGCAATCCCATCCAGGGTGGACAACCCACAGTGCCTCTGCTTTGCCAGGATGCAGCTGACCTCTGCATCCATGGCTTTTGCTGTTTTCCCACTCTTTGAGATGACGGGTTCATGCACTATCCACCCAAAATGTGTTCCAAAGAGAAACCATGAGTCTTTTCCCACAGGACTCTGGGGCTTAGTGAACAATGCAGGCATCCTCTGGCAAATGGCCCCCAACGAGTGGCTGACCAAGGAGGACTTTGTGAGGGTGCTGGATGTGAACCTGCTGGGAACAATTGATGTGACGCTGCACATGCTGCCCCTCATCAGGAGAGCCCAAGGAAGGCTAGTCAATGTGTCTAGCATGATCGGGAGGTTTGCTTATAGTGGAGGAGGCTACAGCCCTTCAAAATTTGCTTTGGAAGCATTTTCTGACAGCCTCAGGTAAATCATTCATTCTGCTTTTACATTTACTGCCGCTATGGTAGGGAAGAGACACTTTGATCGTATGGTCGGCGGTTCGAATCCCCGCGGCGGGGTGAGCTCCCGTCTTTCGGTCCCAGCTCCTGCCCACCTAGCAGTTCGAAAGCACCCCTAAGTGCAAGTAGATAAATAGGTACCGCTTTCTAGCGGGAAGGTAAACGGCGTTTCTGTGTGCTGCGCTGGTGCTGGCTCACCAGAGCAGCTTCGTCACACTGGCCACGTGACCCGGAAGTGTCTCTGGACAGCGCTGGCCCCCGGCCTCTTAAGTGAGATGGGCGCACAACCCTAGAGTCGGACACGACTGGCCCGTGCGGGCAGGGGTACCTTTACGTTATGGTAGGGAAGAGACACTTTGAATGGCATGTGAGATTACACTCCTGAGAAACCCTAATTCATACTGTTTTTAACCTAAAAGGAAACTATCTTCATGTCTCCTTTATGCATGCTCACAAACCTATTTGTATTTAGCAGTTCTGTTGCTTTTGATCTTCCCCAAGAAAGGTAAAGCAGTCATTAAAATGGGTAAGAAATCTGTCTGTAACTGGCAGGTTGGGCACAGGGAGAGATACGAACTCTGGGTTCAGGAGTCATCATGTTGTCTCTTTAAATTTTTTGTTTTCATCATAGGCGTGAATTACATCCTTTTGGGGTCAAAGTTAGCATCATAGAGCCAGGCAGCTTTGCAACAGAATTTGATGAAACTTACAAAAAGAACCTCACCAACTTATGGAATAAGTTGCCTGCTGAGATCAAAGACCTCTATGGGCTGCAGTACTGGAATAACTGTGAGTTGAGACATAGAAATTGCTTTTCCTTGCCCCACTCAGGGATATATATATAGAGAGAGAGAGAAGGAAAACTCTGGTCCTAAACCTCCGCTACCTTGCAGCTATTCTCATTTGTGAAAGAGGTTTCAGGAGTAAACCCCGTGGAAAAATCCATTCCCGCTGCTTTTGTTTTAAACTTTTTTAAAATTTTAAATTGCTGTGACCCGTCTAGAAAAGTCTGAAGAGTAAACTCTACACAAATCTGGAGTGGAGTCCCTAAGACGGTTGGATAGCACCTTGTACATCTCCATCTGGCAACTCCTGCAGCCAAGCTGGTGCCAAACATCTTGCTCTGCTTTCTTTTGGGACACATCAGTGAGGCCAAGAGGGGGGTCTTGTTGTCTGGGCAGCGCAGGACCTCCATACACACTGCTCAGGCTTGTGCCCCAGAGAGGCCACTTCAGGCCCTGTGATTCTCCAGTGGTTTGATTTCACCTCTGGAGATGCACTCCATTGTCTCCCGAAGCAGACAATGCCAACAATAACACACACACACACACACACACACACACACACACACACACACTTGCTTTATTGCTCACCTTTCCCCATTAGTTCCCATGGCAGGTCACAGCAATTTAAAATATGATATTAAAAACAATTAAAAACAAATTACAGCCTCCCCCAGTAGGGTGGGTCCTGATACATGCATGCATGTATATTATCATATTAGCATATCATTTCATATCTTATCATAAATACATCATATATATTTTTTATTTGATGCTGATGAAAAGATGGTAGACTTTGGCATGGTCAAACACTGTGGTGCTGTGTGGTGAATTTTCCAAAACTGTCTGGAACCCGCCCCCCTACCATGAGACATTGCCCATCCCGTTCTTTCTCTCTTCCGAACGGTCGCTGAAACCGGAGGGGAAGTTGCCATTGACATTTCAGGTCATTTCCTATAACATTCTGCATTGTCTGCACTGGACTGCATGGGGCACATACCTGGGTTAGGCAAGCTACATGAACTAAGAAGCTCTTACATTCTGAAAAGCAGATGGGTCATTCTGCAGTTCTTCCCCTGCTCCTTCTACATTTATCTAAAAACATCTGCTGTGTCATGCAGATGTCATGTTCCAAAGAAGCCGAGTGCGCAAGAGGCAGGTGGTATGGCTAACACTCAGAAGCAGATGAATTAATCAGTAACTGGCAGGGCAGGCAGAACTGAATCTGTGATCCCTGAACTCAAATTGTGAGGTAGACGTGGGCTACTGTGAAGCAAGAAGGCAGAAATATAGCCTACAAGGAAGGGTATGGCAGTGAGTACCTGCTGCGAAGATGCACCCAAATTCTCCAGAAAGGAGTTTAGTTAATGCCTGGCAGGTGTACCACTCAGCCAAAAGCTTGCCCGCTACTTATACCTCGAGCACAAACAGTAAATCAAGCAATAAAGCAAACCGAAAACCGCTGCCAGTCCCAAAGGTACCAATAAGCAAGAAGGAAGAATTGGACAAACCAATCCACCTATCTCCTCAGGATACACAATTCTTCCGCAGTAGGTCCAGGGGGACTTGACACAGGCTGCCATTTTCAGCCTCATAAGTACTCCCCCACCCTTACAACTCAAAAGCTTTGCAAAGTGGGAACTGAGGTCCAACTGCTTCAGAAATCTGGCAGCAATATCTTCATATGGCACCGGCCCACAGGACGCACCTGGTTTTTTTGGGGGGGGGAATAAAGAAAAAAAAATTATTTCCCCCCCAGCCCTAGCTTCCCCGGACCCCAGCCCCCAGAATAGGCAGCTCTCCGCAAGCCTTGGGAGACCGGCGCGACTTCCCGCCGGGCTCCCACGCCTTGCGGATATCTGCCTGAAGCCCAAACCAGCGCGCTTCTCCCCATCGCCAGCCTCCAGATCAGGTCGGGAGACAGCGGGAAGGCACGCTGCGCGCTTCTCCCCGCTGCCAGCCCCACAAGCTGGGGGACAGCGGGGAGGTGCAGCGCACCTTCCCGCTGTCCCCCGACCTGGTTTGGAGGCTCCCAAGGCTTCCTGAAGCTTGGAGAGCGAGAGGGGTCAGTGTGCACCGACCCCTCTCGCTCTCCAGGCTTCAGCAAAAGCCTGCATTTGCCCCATAGGACGCACACACATTTCCCCTTCATTTTTGGAGGGGGAAAAGTGCGTCCTATCCTATAGGGTGAAAAATACGGTATATATGATCTTTCAGTTCTGTTGTGGAAGATGCCAGGGCTCTGTGCCCAGTCAGTTACAAGGCAGGGATGATTTCTTTTTGTTCTTTTCCCCCCTCCATCTCTAGTTTCCCAGACGTTCTTCAATGGTAAATGGAGGAATACAGATCTCTGCCTGGTCACGAACTGTATGCAGCATGCGCTGACCTCCCGCTACCCCCGCAGCCGCTACACTGCAGGTCTGGATGCCAAATTCATCTTCATCCCCCTCTCGTACCTGCCAGCCTCACTTGCAGACTATATTGTGGCTTATGGGAGGCCTGGACCAGCCAAAGCTCTTTGCTGATCATAGACACACTTCAGACATGAATCTCTAGGAGAACCAAGGAATGTTGACTACAGCTGCACGATGCCGTCATTCCTACTTTCGCCATCTCCAGGCTGGTAGCAACTGGAGCTCTCATCTCCTTCCCACTCATTCTGCTTTGCACCAAGATCAATCTACTGAGCTTTCTGTTTATTCACAGGGATATTCATCAACGAAGGGGGAATTTTGAAACATAAAACCCCACTCCCTGCACAGGCACACCATGAAATCACCCCTCAGACTGTCTGGGTCGATCAGCTGAATGTTCCACACCTACACACTACAGCCTCCTAACCAGAAGATGCAGGGCTTCCCATAAACAGCCATAATTTGTTAAGGGTGCTGGGAATTGCAACTCCATGAGGGCTCCGCTACCATTCCCGGGATTCAGCCATGAACTATGAACATGCTTGGAAATCTGAATGTTGTAACTCTTCTCCTTGGTATGGCTGGGCTAGCATTAACCCTGAAGAGGATTTCTGCCGTACAAAATTTAAACAGGTTTATCTAGGAAGCCTGAAAAGACATCCCCTTTTCATAATACTCTTACATTTTGAAGGTATGTTGTCTTCAGTAAAGAGGTTTATTGGAGGTCCAGTCCCCAGACAAATAAAAGACCACTAATACTGGTTTGGATCGAAACAGGCCACAACTTTATGGAATACAGTGGTACCTCAGGTTAAGTACTTAATTCGTTCTGGAGGTCTGTTCTTAACCTGAAACTGTTCTTAACCTGAAGCACCACTTTAGCTCATGGGGCCTCCTGCTGCTGCCACACCACCAGAGCACGATTTCTGTTCTCATCCTGAATCAAAGTTCTTAACCTGAGGTAATATTTCTGGGTTAGCGGAGTCTGTAACCTGAAGCGTATGTAACCCAAGGTACCACTGTACAGATGAAAGAGGTTTGGCTTGGGCATGGGGCAATCAAAATATACTTCCAGCCCGCCCGCCGGAAGTAACACGTAGATCAATCCAGGCGGGGGTTCCTAAGACTTACATCAAATAGGATGACCCCAGCAGGGACCGCCGTCTGGGGGAGTGCCATCAGCCCTGGCCCCGCCTGGCCACGCAGACATGGCCACTGCCCCCAGATCCCTTTAACAGGATAACCATGGGATTGGAGGGGCAGGTGGAGACTACAACCTCCCCTCACAACGCTGGCACACTGAAAGGGTGAGAGGACTTGCCCTTCAGATTTCTGCATAGATCTGCTTCGGGCATTGCTCTTATCAGCATTAAAGCACATACTTGCATATTGTGGGGAAATGTTGTGTTTGCTGGTTTCCTTAGCTAAAATGACTCCATCAGTCTCACCCTCCCCACCAGACATGTATATTTTTCTTCCTTCATCTTTCAGTTGCTATAATTGAAATTGCTGCTTCATTTTTGCATCAAACTTGTCACAATGCCTTTAGTGGAAGTCATCAGATATTAGCATATATTCAATTCCTCCTGCATTGCTAAAGTGTTACAGTGGTACCTTGGGTTACATACGCTTCAGGTTACATATGCTTCAGGTTACAGACTCCGCTAACCCAGAAATATTACCTCAGGCTAAGAACTTTGCTTCAGGATGAGAACAGAAATCATGCTCCTGCGGCGCGGCAGCAGCAGGAGGCCCCATTAGCTAAAGTGGTGCTTCAGGTTAAGAACAGTTTCAGGTTAAGAACGGACCTCCAGAACGAATTAAGTACTTAACCTGAGGTACCACCGTGCATGCATTAAGCATGTTGGGCACAAATACTTTCTTCCATTTTCTAAAAATAAAGTCTATCCCTGAACTGTCCAGGAGAATCATGGATTCAAGCATAACTGGCAGTATCAACCCTATATCAGGGTTTCCTTAATGACAGAGGAATTACAAATACTACCAAATGGTAGAATCCTTTCCCTTCACTAAGGTTGTTCAGAAAGGAATGTGGATTAAATGAACTCATCTCCCCTGTCCCCTCTATATATAAAATGGATGAGATTAATTGTGCATCTACATGTAAAAAGGAGATGTTGTTTAGTCGTGTCTGACTCTTCGTGACCGCCTGGACCAGAGCACGCCAGGCACTCCTGTCTTCCACTGCCTCCCGCAGTTTGGTCAAACTCACGCTGGTAGCTTCGAGAACACTGTCCAACCATCTCGTCCTCTGTCGTCCCTTCTCCTTGTGCCCTCCATCGTTCCCAACATCAGGGTCTTTTCCAGGGAGTCTCTCTTCTCATGAGGTGGCCAAAGTATTGGAGCCTCAGCTTCAGGATCTGTCCTTCCAGTGAGCACTCAGGGCTGATTTCCTTAAGAATGGATAGGTTTGATCTTCTTGCAGTCCATGAGACTCTCAAGAGTCTCCTCCAGGGAGACCAAAGATGAAGAAGTAAAATCAGCAATGATCAAATGGGCGCAAGATGTAGGACATAATATACAATTTCAGGACCGGATAAAATTGTGGAAAGTAAATATGAAATTTACAGATTGCATATTATTGAGAGAGAATTATATGAAAATGATGTATAGATGGTATTTATCACAGGTTAAATTGGCAAAAATGTATAAAAATGAAAAGAAAGAGTGTTAGAGATGTGAAACAAAAGGTACGTTTTATCATATGTGGTGGGATTGCAAAAAGGTAAAATCCTACTGGGAAATGATATATAATGAATTGAAAAAAATGTTGACAATAACTTTTGTAAAAAAACCAGAAGCCTTTTTGTTAGGTATTTTAGGTCAAGACATACCAAAGGAAGTGAGGACTTTATTTATGTATGCCACTACAGCAGCAAGAATGTTGATTGCACAAAATTGGAAGACTGGAGAAATACCAACTAAAGAACAATGGCAAGAGAAGTTTAAGAACTATGTAGAACTGGCAAAAATGACCCAGAATCTCTCATCCCAGAATCTTTTCCACTCAGATTTTTTTAAAAAAATTTTTTATTAATTTTCATTTAAAAACATCCAATATAAGCCTTATTATATCAATACCGAATTACAATACCCACTCAAATACAAATCAATCACATAGGCAATTATGTAATTTAGGTGGCTTGCAATGGGTGGGGCCAAGTGGAAAAAAAATTGAACCGCAAGTCTGGTATATCAGAAAACTGGTTCTCCCCCCCCCCCCCCAAAAATGGCCTTGCTCACAGGTAAATCAATGCTTACATGCATTCCCACTGTGGACTTCAGGTTTCCTGAACTCAGGCAGGGAAGGGGAAGTTAGTTGAGACATCAGTTGAGAGCATGGAGGAACCCCCCCCCCCTCCCTTCAGACTTGGAGGTCCAGCCTCAAATCTTCAGTCTTACAGCACTTTGCAAGCAAACCTGCTACAAAGTCTATATATTGTATTGTTAAGCATCTCCCCAATCTTTGAAAAGAAAGACTCTGGCATTCATAGAATCATACAGCTGGAAAGGACCCAAGGGTCATCTTGTTTAACCCCCTGCAATGCAGGAATCTCAGCTAAAGCATCCAAGGCAGCCTGGCCCTTCCACCTTGTCTACTGTTTTTGAGGCTCATGGTCCCTCTGACACGAGTGAAGGGAGTGAGGCTTTTGATTCCTCTGGTGCCTTGTTCTCCCAATTCCAGCCTTCTAGGATCCCAGTCCCAGCCAGTCCCAGGGGTCGGCCTAGGAGTATGAGTGCATGATACAGCAGGCATTCCAGTCCAGTTTGCCCCGGTCGCAGTCTGCACCCCCTGGGCATGGGAGTTGAGGGTCTCAGCTTGCTCGGCATGTGGGGGGGGGGATCTTCTTCCCAGCCACTGGTGAGCCCGGCCTTCGTCCAGTTAAGGATGCCAAGAAATATTTTTCGCTTCGCCCGCCTGGGGATGGTCCCTTCCTGGTTCATCTGATGGAAACCAACACATGGCTCATTATAACCAAGGCCTGGCTGAAAGTACATTACAGAACAACATCAAATTCCTTTTCAGCCTCTATGCTTCAAGACCGTGATCCATCTAGATGGTATAGAGCAGACATGGGCAAACTCGGCCCTCCAGTTGTTTTGGGACTACAACTCCCTGTTGGGATACTGCCAGGGAGACAAAGTCCATCATGGCCCCCAAGCCGGCTGCCGGACGATCCATCGATCTCCCGTAGTCACGCGGTATCAGCAATTAGTGACATGAGTTTCTAGAAATAGCTTGCCACATTCCAGAGCTCATGCACACTCTATCAGCAGATAATGCACAGCCAAAAGTTGCACTCAGGAGAGCATTATTTACAAGTTTTATTCAGCGTTGATCAGAACAAAGAAAACCATGACTGCCTGCATCGATGTCTCCAGACATAGAGAGAAACGAAAGCAATAGCAAACATAAACATCCTGTGAACAGGACATGCGCAGACTCTGACTCACAAAGCCTGCTCCCTTTTAAGGTGGAACGGAAATATCCTAACACTCCCATCATCCCTAGCTAACAGGACTAGTGGTCAGGGATGATGGGAATTGTAGTCTCAAAACATCTGGAGGGCCGAGTTTGCCTATGCCTGCTTTAGAATATCAGTGTCTACAGTTCCTAATAGAAAAGCTTCTGGTTTGTTTGTTTTTACAAAAGTTATTTTAAACATTTTTTTCAATTTATTATACAGTGGTACCTCTGATGACGTACTTAATTCGTTCCAGAGGTCCGTTCTTAACCTGAAACTGTTCTTAACCTGAAGCACCACTTTAGCTAATGGGGACTCCTGCTGCTGCCGCGTCGCCGCTACACGATTTCTGTTCTCATCCTGAAGCAAAGTTCTTAACCCGAGTGTAATGGGTATGAGTTACTCGTGCGTAAACTGGTGCCTCTCTAGGCTGATTTGCCTTGTTAAACCTTTCTGACTGCACAGCCCTTTCTAATCATGACTGCCTCAGTCGCTGGCAGAATCCATCAGTGGGTGTTTCTTGAACCTCTTCCAACATAAAAGTTGTTTGACCCCCAGTCTCCTCCTCCTCTCATTGCGCGGGAGTCTTCTGCGCAGGGAGGGCGTGGGTAGCGGAGGACCTGTCCCCTCCTCACTGAGGTCCAGTGAAGAGTCCTGGAGCCCTCTCTCCGCTTCCCCCATCTGCCCCCCTTTATCCCTGGTGTTGCGCTGATTTGCTTCCCCCTCTACTGAGCTGTTTCTCCCCCTGCTGCTGGGTCCTTCGCCAGCATCATCTAGGAGCCTCCCCTTCGCCTCTCGCTCCGATGTCAGTTCCCTGACACCGAGGTACTATTTCTGGGTTAGCGGAGTCTGTAACCTGAAGCGTATATAACCTGAAGCGTCTGTAACCTGAGGTACCACTGTATATCATTTCCCAGAAAGCTTTTACTACCTTACGTGGCCACCACATATGATAAAAGGTACCTTCTTTTTCTTTACATTTCCAGCAGGTATTTGTACTTGCTTTATACATTTTTGCTCACTTGCTAGGAGTCAAATACCACTGGTACATGATTTTCATATAAATTTTTTTCAGCGTACAACATGCTGTGAATTTCAAATCTGTTTTCCGTAGCCTTTCCCAATCTGAAACCTGAATATTATGCCCCAAATCCGTTGCCCAGTGTATCATTACAAATTTAACCTGTTCATCTTTTGCATACCATTCCAAGAGCAATTTATACATTTTCGACAATAATTTCAAATTGTTTTCTAACAGGTCTTTTTGTTTTTGACTGTCTTAAAGATATCATTTAATTGGTGAAACTGTAACCAATCTGTTAATAAATCCCTTATCTCTTCAAAATCTTTCAGTTTCACCTGATGTTCCACCTCGGTTAACAGCTCTCTATATGTCACCCTATTACTTCTCACATTTAATTTTTTCAAAGATATCACTTCTAATGGGGAAAGCCACCAAGGTGTTTTCTGTTCAAGTAAATTTTTATATTTTCCCCATACAGCAGATATGTCCAACCCATCGATCACAGGCCCGATTCCTGTCGCTCCCGGGCCCGAGGCAGCCCAAGAGAGCATAACATGCTCTTCACCAGAAAGGCAACAGCTCCAAAGGCGACACGAAAGACACACACGCACAAGAAAGGCAGAAGGAGAAGCCAGTGTGAGGCAGGAGGCGGGAGGCGGGAGCAGGGAGGAGGAAGATGGATTGAGGGTTGGCAATGGGAAGGCAGCAGCGGTGGATGGTGGAGCAATGTCGAGATGTTGTCCGATGTCAGTATTCCCTTTGGAGGCTTGCCAAGTTTGGAGGGTCTCTTCGCCGAGGGAGAGCCTGGAGGGTTCAGTACCCCCAGCCCCTCCCCTAAAGAGGCGATTGATCGAGCAAAACAGTTTACTGTTGGAGCTCTCCTTCTCCTGCCAGCAAATGACAAATGAGTGAGCTGGAAAGGACTCTAATTACCCTTTGGAGTTGATTCCAAAGTAACATCACAGGAGGCAAACATGCCTTCCTAAGCGGGGGGGGGGCATTGCTAGGACATTGGCATGGCCCCTTCTCTTTGGTTCAGATCCATCTGGTGCAATATGTGATACAATAATGGCAAAATAAGGCATACGATCTGTTGGCTGCTGATGCTGAGCTTGCACAATATTATAGATAGGCTCATACTGTTCCTCTTTATTGAGCTTTTCAGTTAATACAAAGCTAGCTAGACCTATTATTTATACTTGTTTTGGCTTCCCTCTGCTCCAAGCAGCTCATTGCTTCATGCAAAATTTCTCCTTCCCCTCAGTAACACTGCGAGGGAGGCTAAATAGAGCAGCGAGCTTCATGGTGGAGCAGGCGTTGGGATTTGGTTTCTCCAAGGCTTGCTAGGTGCCTGTGTGCCCTCACTCTTGCAAGCTTCTTCCCTGCAGGTTTCAGCCATGTGGCTCTACCTGGCTGCCCTGCTGGGGCTTTACTTCCTTCGCCGATGGTACCAGGAGAGACAGACGGTGGAGAACCTGACGGAGAAATATGTCTTCATCACGGGGTGTGACTCTGGCTTTGGAAACCTACTTGCCAGGCAGCTGGATGCCCAGGGCCTGCGGGTGTTGGCAGCCTGTCTCACGCAGAAGGGGGCAGAGCAGCTGGACCAGGTCACCTCAGAGCGCTTGAAAACCACCATTCTGGATGTCTCCAGTACAGAGAGCGTTGCGGCAGCGACGGAGTGGGTGAAAGAACAAGTGGGGAACAAAGGTAGCTTTTTGTTGTGTTGTTTCCATGCTCTGGATCAGGCCAGGGATTATCTGTATCATCATCTGCTTATCTTTACTCCACTTTCCCACAAAATGTAGCCAGAGCGACTCCCAATATATCAAAACGAAAAAGTATGACCATTTTAAAAAGTATTAGAAACAACTAAAATCAATAAGGCAATGAATGGGGAAGGAATTCCATGGGGTCACCTTAATTCAGCCTCTGTCAAGAGCTACTAGGATTGCCAAATAACCTGAAAGATTATTGCTTTGTGCCTTTGACAGCAGCTTGTTCTGTGAAGTCACACAGTGAAACTTCATTTTGTATGAAGATACATGTTCCTATCTGATAATGTCTACAGATACAAGAGAGCATAATCAATGCTGCAAGATTTTAATCTTAATTTTAAAAAATTAATTAAATTTTTTAAATTTAAATTTAAATTGGCAAGCAGTTGCAGAACCTCAAACTGATTAGCCAGTGCCTCTGGATGGATCAGGCCAGGGATTTTCTGTATCATCTGTATCTGTAATGAGTATGAGTTACTCGTATGTAAACTGATGCCTCTCTAGGCTGATTTGCCTTGTTAAACCTTTCTGACTGCACAGCCCTTTCTAATCGTGACTGCCTCAGTCGCTGGCAGAATCCGTCAGTGGGTGTTTCTTGAACCTCTTCCAACATAAAAGTTGTTTGACACCCAGTCTCCTCCTCCTCTCATTGCGCGGGAGTCTTCTGCGCAGGGAGGGCATGGGTAGCGGAGGACCTGTCCCCTCCTCACTGAGGTCCAGTGAAGAGTCCTGGAGCCCTCTCTCCGATTCCCCCATCTGCCCCCCTTTATCCCTGGTGTTGCGCTTAAATGCTTCCCCCTCTACTGAGCTGTTTCTCCCCTGCTGCTGGGTCCTTCGCCAGCATCCTCTAGGAGCCCCCCTCCGCCTCTCGCTCCGATGTCAGTTCCCTGACATCCACCTCCCCCCCAGAACCCCCTCCACCCCTGGACCGACCTGTGGGATCAACTTCGTCCTCTTCGTCGGCCGACGAGGCGGGGAACCCCCGGAAGGAACTGTAACCATCTTCTGTGGATTTGAAACCCGCTTACCACCCGCTCTTACACCTGCCAACGGGGTGGTCCTCCCAGTCTGATTCTTCTTCCTCCGAAACCTCTCCTCCCTCCTCCTCGGAGTCAGAAAATCCCTCAAAAACCTCTTCATCATCTGTGGTTCCAAATTGCTCCTCCCAGAATTTCTCCAGGGGTTTGGGTTTGTCCGGGTTTGTCCGGGAACCGGCGGTGGAATACCTCCACCAGATACCCATCCTCGAAGGCTTCCATGGGAACCCGTGTGTTTTCGGACCCGGGTTCCCCCTCCCAAGCTACCAAGTACTCCACCTGGCGCCCTCGCCACCTTGAGTCCAGTATTTCCGTGGCCCTGTGATGGTGTTCCCTTTCTTCTACCTGCGGGTGTGTGGTGACTTCTCCCTCTTGCCCCTGGAATCCCGCCCCTCCCTATGCGGTGAGAGCAGGGACCTGTGGAAAACCGGGTGTATTTTCATGCTATCAGGCAACTTGAGCTTAAATGCCACGGGATTTACTTGCTGTGTTACCTCAAAAGGTCCCAGCCGTCTGGGCTGCAACTTCTTGCACCCCCCTTTGAAAGGTAGCCCTTGGGTGGACAACCACACCCGGTCCCCCACCCGTATGGTCTCCCTTCCTGCGGTGCTTGTCTGCCTGCCTCTTGTAAGTTTCCTTGGCCCGCTCCAAGTTCATCTTAAGTTGCTGGTGCAGGGCCTCCATTTCTTCCAGAAACTGCTCTGCCGCGGGTACGCTCCAGGTTTCCTCCCCACTCCCCGGGAAGGCCCTGGGATGACACCCATGGTTGGCCATGAATGAACTCATTCCCGTGGACACGTGTTCCGCGTTGTTGTACGCGAATTCAGCCAGCGCCAGTTTTTCTACCCAATCGTTCTGCCTCTCGCTGACGTAGCAGCGTAGGTATTGCTGGAGTATACTGTTCGCTCTTTCTGCTTGCCCGTTGGTCTCTGGGTGTCTCGCCGTCGAGAAACCCACCTCCACCTGCAGCTCATGAGCTTCCTCCAGAACCGGGAAGTACCGTATTTTTCGCTCCATAGGACGCACTTTTTCCCCTCCAAAAATGAAGGGGAAATGTGTGTGCGTCCTATGGAGCGAATGCAGGCTTTCGCTGAAGCCTGGAGAGCGAGAGGCATCGGTGCGCACCGACCCCTCTCGCTCTCCAGGCTTCAGGAAGCTATCCGCAAGCCTTGCAAGCCCGGTGGGAGTTCCCGCGGGCTCACAAGGCTTGCAGGCAGCAGCCTGCAGCCCCGGCGAGTGTCCGCAAGCCTTGCGCGCCCGGCAGGAGGTCCCGCCCAGCGCGCGAGGCTTGGGGCGGCAGCCTGTCGCCCGAGCACGGGGAGCCCTCTGGAGGGCTCCCGTGCTTCGGGCGAGTGTCTGCAAGCCTCGCGCGCCCGGTGGGAGGTCCCGCCGAGCGCGCGAGGCTTGGGGCGGTAGCCTGCAGCCCGAAGCACGCGAGGCTTGGGGCGGCAGCCGCGGGGGGGGGAAATAATTTTTTTTATTCATTTCCCCCCCAAAAAAACGAGGTGCGTCCTATGGACCGGTGCGTCCTATAGAACGAAAAATACGGTAAATTGTTTTCCGCGGTCGGAGATAACCCTCAAGGGGGTGCCATGCAGCCGGAAGATGTGCTCCACAAACAACCGGGCTGTTTCCTCTGCCGTTACAGCATGTGAGCAAGCTATAAAATGGCACATTTTTGTCAGTAGGTCGACCACTACCATGACCGCTGTCTTTCCCCGGGACTTGGGCAAATCTGTCATAAAATCAATGGACACCACCTCCCAGGGTTTTCCCAGCGTGGGTAAGGGTTCCAGTAATCCTGCGGGGGCAGCCCGCTCCCCCTTTGCCCTTTGGCAGCGGTCGCACCCCCATACATATTCCCGTACATCCTCCCTCACCCTGGGCCACCAGAACTGCCTGGTCACGAGCATCATGGTTTTGTGCTGCCCAAAGTGCCCTGCTGTGGGGTTGTTGTGGAGTTGTTTGAGTACCTTTCCCCTCAGGGTCTCCCCTGGTACGTACAGCGCTCCCCTATAGTACAGTACCCCTTCCTTCTCCTCAAACCCTTCTTGGGTCCCTCTTCTGTCTCGGAGTTCCTGGATTTTAGTTTGCGCGAACACATCATTTCTGGTCAGCCCGGCTAGTTCTCGTTTCCCCACCAAAGTTCCCCCACACACCCATCGTTCCTCGGGGATCACGTGCCGTTTCTCCGGCGACCCCTCTCCTTCCAGGTACTCCGGTTTACGCGAGAGAGCGTCTGCTCTGACGTTTTCCTCTCCGGGCACGTATCGGATTTCAAAGAAAAACTTGGAGAACTCCTGTGCCCATCGAATCTGTCTCTGGTTGAGTACTCGTGCGGTCCTCCAGTACTCCAAGTTTTTGTGATCTGTGCAAACCTGGATCTGTTGTTGCGCCCCTATCAGTAGATGATGCCAACGACGAAAGGCCGCGTAGATCGCCAGCAGTTCGCGGTCATATACGGTATAGTTTTGCTCCGACTTGCTCAGTTTTCTCGAGAAAAAGGCACACGGTTTCCATTCCTGCTTGCCCCTCCCTGGCTGCAAAAGGACCGCCCCGATGGCTCTGTCGGACGCGTCGGTCTCTAGCCTCAGGGGTTTCTCCAGATCTACGTGCAGGAGTTGCTCTTCCGATGCGAACGCCTTCTTCAGTTTTTCGAAGGATTGCTGGGCCTCTTCTGTCCACACAAACTTCTTTTTGCTACTGAGGCAATCCGTGATGGGCGCTGTCAAGTGGGCGAAGTTCTTGATGAACTTCCTGTAGAAGTTGCTGAACCCTAGGAATCTCTGCACGTCCTTCCGTGTTTTGGGAGCCTTCCACTCCAGCACTGCCTGCACCTTGCTTGGGTCCATCGCTAAGCCTTTGTCAGACAACTTGTACCCCAGAAACTCGACTTCTCTGGCGTGAAACTGACATTTTTCCAGCTTGACCCACAACTGGTGCTTCTGCAGCCGTTGTAACACTTCCCTGACGTCTCTAACATGTTGCTCCTCGTTGTCCGAATAAATTAAGACGTCGTCCAAGAAGGCTACGCAGTTCTTGTACAGCAGAGACCCCAACACGTGGTGCATGAAAGCTTGAAAACAGGCGGAGCCCGACTGTAATCCAAAAGGCATAACTAAGTACTCAAAGGCACCTAGGGGTGTGAACATTGTGGTCTTCCATTCGTCCCCTCCCTCATCCTGATCAAATTGTATGCGCCCCTGAGGTCCAGCTTGGTAAAAATTTTCCCTTTCCTCACTCGCGTTAAAATGTCGTCAATCCTGGGCATAGGGAAGGTCACGGGTTCTGACACCAAATTGACGGCCCTATAGTCCACAACGAGCCTGGGTTTATTTGTGTCCTTTTTGTCCACAAAGAACACCGGACTGCCCCCCACCGCCTTTGATTCTCTTATGAAGCCTCTTTTCAGGTTCTTGTCAATAAATTCTCGCAACTCCTTCATCTCCCTGTCCGACATGGCATACAGCTTACCCACTGGCAGCTGAGCCCCCGGGAGCAAGTTGATCTGGCAGTCAAAGGGCCTATGGGGTGGCAGTCTATCTGCCTCCTTCTCGCTGAAGACCTCCCGCAGATCTGCATATTGCGGCGGCACCTCTCCCTTCCGCTCCACAGCCATCCCAGCCACCCTGGCCACGCTCATCCTTGGGGTTGCTCCTCCTAGACAGTGTTCCAGGCAGTAAGCTGACCCAAAGGTGACTGTCCTCTGATGCCACGCCACCACTGGATCATGTTGTGCTAGCCAGCTCATCCCTAATATTATTGGGGGCCCTGCTAGTGAGGCGACGTGAAAGGCGATGGTCTCCAAGTGCCTGGACACTCTCATTCTCATTGGTGGGGTCTGGTGTGTCACTTCCCCTCCCCTGCCATCAATGGTGGTCACTTGCAAGGGAAAATCCAAAGGCAGTAAGTGGAGCTGGTGCTCTAATGCAAAGTCTTTGCTGAAGAAATTACATGAGCTGCCTGAATCCAGCATCCCTTTCACCTTGACTGGGTGCCCGTTTGGGAGTTCCTAGCACCACTTCGATGGCTATTGCCGCCTTGGGGGGGTCTGGTTGGGGCACTTTTACTGGTGGCTGGCCTGGCTGCTGTGCCCCTTGATTGGCAGCCAAGCGTTCCCGTTTCCCTGTTCCTGTTCCTTTACCACCTCCTCCTCACCCCCTGCGGCTCCCACCATTCCTTGCCAGGCCTTTCTTTGAGGGCAGGCTCTGGCAAAATGTCCTGGCCGCTGGCAAAGGAAACACTTCTTGGTGGTTTTCCAATCCTTTCCCTCCTTTTTGCGCCCTTCGCTGGTGCTTGAAACTTCCCACGCGCGTGCCCCATCTATTTCCATTGGCTCTGCTGGCGGGGAAGGCTGCCTTGGTATTTCAGGAATGTGGTAGTCATGGCAACGTTGCTCTCTCCCTTCCCGCCTCTCCTGGGCCCGCGCTTCCTGCCGCACGCCAATCGCAAGCACAGCCTTGGTCAGCTGATCCATCCCCTGTGGGCGGGGTGGGCGGGAAAGTTCATCCTTAACCGTTGGGGACAACCCCTCCTCGAATAACATTTGTATGGGTTCAGAGTCCAGTTGCCACCCGAGGCGGTGAACTATCATGGCAAAGCGCGACCAGTAGTCCCTAACTGACTGGCTCCCCTGTTTACAGTTCATCAGTTCCCGCTTTGTCACACTTTTTTGTACATCACTGGAAAACATTGCGTCCATTGCCTGGAAGAATTTCCTCAGGTCCTGCATGGCGGCATTCTGCGTCGCCATAAGGGGCCTGACCCATTCCCTGGCCCCGTCCTGCAGGTGACCCACAATATATGCCACCCGCGCTGCGTCGTCTTCAAAATCGTCATGCTGCAGTTCCAATGCGTACTCTATTTCCATTCGGAACGCACTATATTCCTGCGGCTTCCCCCCAAATTTGTGCACCAGTCCCAGTACCTTCCTTGCTATGGGGGTGGGCCTGACCTGTGCATCTTGAGACCGCCTTTCGTCCAGCCGCGCCGTCAGAATGGCCACATGCTGCTCCAACTCTCGGTTCCTCTCCACCAGAGTTTGCCCTCCAGCTGCTCCCTTCTGGGCGCTCGCTTCTCCGGGTTTGCTCATGATGCTGCCTGCCTGCTGCTGCGCACGAGCAACTTTCAGGGACTGACGGATTGCTGTAATGAGTATGAGTTACTCGTGCGTAAACTGGTGCCTCTCTAGGCTGATTTGCCTTGTTAAACCTTTCTGACTGCACAGCCCTTTCTAATCGTGACTGCCTCAGTCGCTGGCAGAATCCGTCAGTGGGCGTTTCTTGAACCTCTTCCAACATAAAAGTTGTTTGACACCCAGTCTCCTCCTCCTCTCACTGCGCGGGAGTCTTCTGCGCAGGGAGGGCGTGGGTAGCGGAGGACCTGTCCCCTCCTCACTGAGGTCCAGTGAAGAGTCCTGGAGCCCTCTCTCCGAGTCCCCCATCTGCCCCCCTTTATCCCTGGTGTTGCGCTGATTTGCTTCCCCCTCTACTGAGCTGTTTCTCCCCCTGCTGCTGGGTCCTTCGCCAGCATCATCTAGGAGTCTCCCCTTCGCCTCTCGCTCCGATGTCAGTTCCCTGACAGTATCTTTATTCCACTTTCCCACACAATGTCGCCAAAGTGACTCCAAATATATCAAATGAACGAGTAATATTCAAAAAACTTATTAGAAACAATTAATCCAAATATCCAAATATCAGTGAGTAAAAAAAAAGTTTAAAACTATGCAATCAGCTTAATTCAACCTCTATAAGAAGCTGATCTGAAAGACATTTGCTTTGTGCCTTTGACAGCAGCTTATTCTGTGACATCAGCAGGTGAAGCTCCTTGTGGTGTGAAGAGAAACATTGACACCTCATAATGTCCACTGATCAAGCTGCTCTTTAAAGCTCATATATGAAAAGCCGTAAGTGATGGTACAAAATGGTAACTTTAACTGACAAGCAGGTGATGCGGGACTCTGAATTTTTCCTCCTAAGAGCAGCTGGGAGGAGCTGCAATCCACACCAGGAAAATGACTCAGAAGGAGGAGATATGTGCTGCCCTTTCTTCAGAAATGCTGCCTGATCCAATCTAAACATTAATATAACTTCTCCATAGTGGCTGCTGAGACTGAGACAAGAAGGGAGATTATTGTACTATTGTTAATCAATGATATAAATCATTTATTAATGATACAAACCCCTCTTTCTTACTTATTCCTCTCATCACCCTCTCATAAACACCCTCTCAGTGTTCCATGCATGCTATATTCTACACGTATTATGTCTTATTAATTTTATAGCAAAATCACTCTAAAATCTCCTAACCAACCTGTGCAAAACGTAGGCCCAAACTACAGACTCCATTCTCTGACAGCATGCAGGGAAATCAGGTGGCTGCTGTGCAAATTGATGCCCAGGGCTCCATACTATCCTCCACTGCAGTGCTGTGCTCATTTGACAGAGGGAAATGACGGAAGTTGCAAGAGTGTCTGTGCAGGGATCCTAAGCACTAAGTGAGCAAAAGATGTGTGGGATAGAAGTTAAGATGGGTGCCTTGACTTAACAGCGTCATCCTTGGCATATAGTGCATAGCACACACACACACAGCACACACAAGAATCAGATATACCCACATTTCCAAAGTATTGTGTATATCCAATTATTAGGGCAGGTGGGAACCTGGAACAATAAGAATATTTTTTTCTTCTCACACAGGGCTCTGGGGTTTGGTGAACAATGCAGCCATTGCTGCCCCATCAGCTCCCAGTGAGTGGCTGACCAAAGATGGCGTTGCAAAGATGATCGGTGTCAACTTTCTTGGGATGATTGACATGACGCTACACATGCTGCCCCTGGTGAGAAGAGCCAGAGGGAGGGTGGTCAACATGTCCAGTATAATGGGACGATTGGCATGCTTTGGAGTACCCTATACCGCATCCAAGTACAGCGTGGAAGCCTTCTCTGACATCCTGAGGTAAACATGATAGTTCTGTATCTTCCTCTTTCTCCTTGCTTTAGTGGGATGTCTGCTTCTCCAGCTAAGTTTCAAGCAGAGGACAGCAATGAATAAAGAGCAGGTGCTGGGACATGTGGACTGCACCAGAGACTTACCAAGTAATCAGCAGGGGTTTGCACACCTAAGTCAGCTCTTTTTCTTGAGGAAACAATTTAATGTACCAGCAAGAGTTGTAAGCACCAACCTCCTGGTGGCTGCCTCTGAATATGCCTGATGCCGGGTCATAGACAATGCCCTGGTGCCTCAAGACAGAAGAAGACAGGAAGCTGCATTTCACCACATCTCCCTCTCTCCCTTCTTTCTTCTTCTTCTTCTTCTTCTTCTTTAAGGAAAGATGTTCTATTCCATGGACCGCAAATCATGATCTTCCTTATTATTCTGGTTCAGTAAGAAGACGTGTTTCTTGATTTTTCCTCCTCAATTCAGGCGAGAGATGCATCCTTTCGGGGTCCGAGTTAGCGTTATTGAACCCGGTTGTTTCAAAACACCCATGCAGTCAAAGACGGTAGAGAGCTACAAGAATGCATGGAGCCAAGCCCCTTCTGAGATCAAGGAAGCCTATGGGCAGCGCTACTTTGAGCGCAGTGAGTAGAAATGGGCGGGGGGAAGAATTCAGTTTGGTTTGCAATGTGCGAAAGCACACAACTATTATAACGGCAAAGCCTGCAATTAAAGTATTTGCTAATAAGTCCCACTGTTGCAGTGGAACACACACACACACAGAGAGAGAGAGAGAGAGAGAGAGAGAGAGAGAGAGAGACCCTGAGACCCACCAGGCTAAATTGCTGGTTTCCAAATCCATAGCTAAACACGCTATGGCTTAGGGTCCCACTCTCTTGGGGCCCCCAAAAAAATTTAAAGGAAAAAAACCTAGATGTACATTTCCAAAATATAAGACAAAAACAAATCAAATAAAATACTTCAATAAAATATTTATTTTCTTATGTGCAAATGGCTTTAGATACCTGTTAGGTCCATAAATTACCATATAGCATATATTCAACACAAAAAACAGTGACAATTGTTGTTGACAAAGGACAGCTGGACAAGAGCCCCAATATCTTCAGTAGCCTAGGGCCTCATCAAACCTCAATCTGGCCCTGCCCGAGACAGAGACAGATCCTGGGTTGCCTGCCCCTGAACCCGGCGTATGGCGACCCTCACCTAGATACAACTCTCAAGCCCCACTTACAGCCTGAAACACAATGTCTAATCCTCTGTTGAAAAAGGTTCCGTCTTAAAGCAACAGAAAATGCTCCCAATGCTCCTCCTTAGATTTAGACCTCCTAGGCAGAGAAATCCAGAAGCTAACATATCTCTTCAGAACCCAAAATATTTAGGTTATCTCCTGCGGAGGTATAGGGCAGCATAGAAATCAAATCAATAAATGCAAAATAAATACATACATGTTTTTGCATCACTAAGTTTTCTTTTCTTTCCTATATCCCACACACAGGTCTCAAATTATTAAAATTCTGCCACTTCACCGGCAGCAGCAACTTTCAACCGGTCACAGACTCTATAGAACATGCCCTGACCTCCTGCTCCCCTCGCATCCGCTACTGTCCAGGATGGGATGCCAAACTCTTATACGTTCCTCTCTCTTACTTGCCAGTCTCCATTCTTGACTTCCTGTGGAGATGCATTTGGCCCAAACCAGCACAAGCCGTGTAGAATATTCTGAAGAAACATGTCAGTTCTCCAAATGAACCAAGGAAGTCTTTGCACTATTAACGATGTTCCGTTGTTTCTCTTTTCTGAAGTTCTAAACCAGTGGTTCTGATACTTTTCTTCCCACGGACCACTTGAGAATTGCTGAAGGTCTTGCTTGACCATGGTAGGGTGCTCAGTGATTTTTAATTGTAGTTTATTTCTACTTTTATATCTTTATATATACAATGTATTTTATTGCATTACAATTGGAATTCTAGAGTAGAAGTCTATTAAAATATTTATCTGTTGCAATGTAACGTCCTACTCAGTAAGCATTTCTCTCACACCACACAGATGCACCACTGAAAAACTGGTTTGATGTGGCATTTGGCCTATAGTTCCAGTAAACAAATTAATACCTTTGGTCAATCCCCAAAGTACACTGAGTTAAAGGCAGGATCATGATATTACCTCAGGGTTAATCTCAGTGTCCCAATAACTTTCTCATGAATGAGTTTGGCTGCAAGGCAGTGGAGGTTTAGAACCAGAGTTTTCCTTCTCCAGGACTGGCTACCTTCCCTTTTGGAAATGTGTGGGGCCCTGTCTCAGTTCTGGCAGCAACAACCAGGATCGCCCAGAGTCACTGGGGAAATAATATGTCTTTGTTTAGCTCCATGAGTAAGGAAAAGGGGGTGGATTCTGAGCACCATGAGGGTGGGGTGGGCCCAGGGATTCTGAAGGAAGTGCCCCCAGATCTAGTCTGGTGGCAAGATTCCCTGGGGCAGGAGATGTCCAGGGAAGAGATTCCCCATGTGCCAGAGAGGAAGCAGCTGAAGAAATTGTCTAGGGGTGTGAGACTGGAGGCCCTGACCCACAACCTAGAAGGAAGGGGAGCAGAATACTGGACCCAACATGGACTGAAAACTGTGTTCGATGTACTCAAGGATAAGAATTCTGGGAAAACCTAGGCAGGCTACCTCAAAGCAGGAGGAGAGAGGTGAAAGCTAAGAGAATACGGAAGGTGTGGGTTGGTTGGTTGGTTGGTTGGTTGGTTGGTTGGTTGGTTGGTTGGTCATTCATCATAACCTCCAATCCCCTACACTCATCCTTCTGAATTTTTGCAAGTTACCTTACTATGAACACCTTTATGATGTATGAGCAGACCCCAGTTAAGAAACTTGGGGTGCAGCAAGATTAGGATCTGTCATCTTCACAGAAAAGATCTGGGGCATTCTAGGTACATGGGATGTGGTGGAGGCTGGTCCACTAGGTCTACTGGAAGCCTGACCTACCAAGTCTTTCTCCATCCACCATACAAATGATTGGACATCTTTGTTCTAGTCCTACATATGTCAGAATAGAGGGAAAGAGTCTAACAAATTCAAGCCACTTTTCTTTGCAAGATCCTTGGTGCCCCTAAATGCATAAGTTATCTAACCTTAGGTGCCGAAACGGGTCAACATCTGATGGAAACCAACATATGGCTCATTATAACCAAGGCCTGGCTGAAAGTACATTACAGAACAACATCAAATTCCTTTTCAGCCTCTATGCTTGAAGACCGTGATCCATCTAGATGGTATAGAGCAGACATGGGCAAACTCGGCCCTCCAGTTGTTTTGGGACTACAACTCCCATCATCCCTAGCTAACAGGACTAGTGGTCAGGGATGATGGGAACTGTAGTCTCAAAACATCTGGAGGGCCGAGTTTGCCTATGCCTGCTTTAGAATATCGGTGCCTACAGTTCCTAATAGAAAAGCTTCTGGTTTGTTTGTTTTTACAAAAGTTATTTTAAACATTTTTTTCAATTTATTATACAGTGGTACCTCTGATGACGTACTTAATTCATTCCAGAGGTCCGTTCTTAACCTGAAACTGTTCTTAACCTGAAGCACCACTTTAGCTAATGGGGCCTCCTGCTGCTGCCGCGTCGCCGCCACACGATTTCTGTTCTCATCCTGAAGCAAAGTTCTTAACCCAAGGTACTATTTCTGGGTTAGCGGAGTCTGTAACCTGAAGCGTATATAACCTGAAGCGTCTGTAACCCAAGGTACCACTGTATATCATTTCCCAGAAAGCTTTTACTACCTTACATGGCCACCACATATGATAAAAGGTACCTTCTTTTTCTTTACATTTCCAGCAGGTATTTGTACTTGCTTTATGCATTTTTGCTCAATTGCTAGGAGTCAAATACCACCGGTACATGATTTTCATATAATTTTTTTTCAGCATACAACATGCTGTGAATTTCAAATCTGTTTTCCGTAGCCTTTCCCAATCTGAAACCTGAATATTATGCCCCAAATCCGTTGCCCAGTGTATCATTACAAATTTAACCTGTTCATCTTTTGCATACCATTCCAAGAGCAATTTATACATTTTCGACAATAATTTCAAATTGTTTTCTAACAGGTCTTTTTGTTTTTGACTGTCTTAAAGATATCATTTAATTGGTGAAACTGTAACCAATCTGTTAATAAATCCCTTATCTCTTCAAAATCTTTCAGTTTCACCTGATGTTCCACCTCGGTTAACAGCTCTCTATATGTCACCCTATTACTTCTCACATTTAATTTTTTCAAAGGTATCACTTCTAATGGGGAAAGCCACCAAGGTGTTTTCTGTTCAAGTAAATTTTTATATTTTCCCCATACACCAGATATGTCCAACCCATCGATCACAGGCCCGATTCCTGTCGCTCCCGGGCCCGAGGCAGCCCAAGAGAGCATAACATGCTCTTCACCAGAAAGGCAACAGCTCCAAAGCCGACACGAAAGACACACACGCACAAGAAAGGCAGAAGGAGAAGCCAGTGTGAGGCAGGAGGCGGGAGGCGGGAGCAGGGAGGAGGAAGATGGATTGAGGGTTGGCAATGGGAAGGCAGCAGCGGTGGATGGTGGAGCAATGTCGAGATGTTGTCCGATGTCAGTATTCCCTTTGGAGGCTTGCCAAGTTTGGAGGGTCTCTTCGCCGAGGGAGAGCCTGGAGGGTTCAGTACCCCCAGCCCCCCTCCCCCTAAAGAGGCAATTGATGGAGCAAAACAGTTTAATGTTGGAGCTCTCCTTCTCCTGCCAGCAAATGACAAATTAGTGAGATGGAAAGGACTCCTAATTACCCTTTGGAGTTGATTCCAAAGTAACATCACAGGAGGCAAACATGCCTTCCTAAGCAGGGGTGGGTGGGCATTGCTAGGACATTGGCATGGCCCCTTCTCTTTGGTTCAGATCCGTCTGGTGCAATATGTGATACAATAATGGCAAAATAAGACATACGATCTGTTGGCTGCTGATGCTGAGCTTGCACAATATTATAGATAGGCTCATACTGTTCCTCTTTATTGAGCTTTTCAGTTAATAAAAAGCTAGCTAGACCTATTATTTATACTTTATTTGGCTTCCCTCTGCTCCAAGCAGCTCATTGCTTCATGCAAAATTTCTCCTTCCCCTCAGTAACACTGCGAGGGAGGCTAAATAGAGCAGCGAGCTTCATGGTGGAGCAGGCGTTGGGATTTGGTTTCTCCAAGGCTTGCTAGGTGCCTGTGTGCCCTCACTCTTGCAAGCTTCTTCCCTGCAGGTTTCAGCCATGTGGCTCTACCTAGCTGCCCTGCTGGGGCTTTACTTCCTTCGCCGGTGGTACCAGGAGAGACAGACAGTGGAGAACCTGACAGAGAAATATGTCTTCATCACCGGCTGTTCCGCTGGCCTTGGGAACCACCTTGCCAGGCATCTGGATGCCCGGGGTCTGCGGGTGTTGGCAACCTGTACCACCCAGAAGGGGGCAGAGCAGCTGGACAAGGCCACCTCAGAGCGCTTGAAAACCACCATTCTGGATGTCTCCAGTACAGAGAGCGTTGCGGCAGCGACGGAGTGGGTGAAAGAACAAGTGGGGAACAAAGGTAGTTTGTTGTTTTGTTTCCATGCTCTGGATCAGGCCAGGGATTATCTGTATCATCATCTGCTTATCTTTACTCCACTTTCCCACAAAATGTAGCCAGAGCGACTCCCAATATATCAAAACGAAAAAGTATGACCATTTTAAAAAGTATTAGAAACAACTAAAATCAATAAGGCAATGAATGGGGAAGGAATTCCATGGGGTCACCTTAATTCAGCCTCTGTCAAGAGCTGCTACGATTGCTAAATAACCTGAAAGATTATTGCTTTGTGCCTTTGACAGCAGCTTGTTCTGTGAAGTCACACAGTGAAACTTCATTTTGTAAGAAGATACATGTTCCTATCTGATAATGTCTACAGATACAAGAGAGCATAATCAATGCTGCAAGATTTTAATCTTAATTTTAAAAAATTAATTAAATTTTTTAAATTTAAATTTAAATTGGCAAGCAGTTGCAGAACCTCAAACTGATTAGCCAGTGCCTCTGGATGGATCAGGCCAGGGATTTTCTGTATCATCTGTATCTTTATTCCACTTTCCCACACAATGTCGCCAAAGTGACTCCAAATATATCAAATGAACGAGTAATATTCAAAAAACTTATTAGAAACAATTAATCCAAATATCCAAATATCAGTGAGTAAAAAAAAATTTAAAACTATGCAATCAGCTTAATTCAACCTCTATAAGAAGCTGATCTGAAAGACATTTGCTTTGTGCCTTTGACAGCAGCTTATTCTGTGACATCAGCAGGTGAAGCTCCTTGTGGTGTGAAGAGAAACATTGACACCTCATAATGTCCACTGATCAAGCTGCTCTTTAAAGCACATATATGAAAAGCCGTAAGTGATGGTACAAAATGGTAACTTTATTATTTTTTTTTATAATGATATTTATTAAAGTTTCACAAAAATACACAAAACAAAGAAAAAAGAAAAAAGTACAGCAAAAAAGTAGAAAATAAGAAAAAACATACAAAATAAAACAGTTAAAAACACAATAATGTTCCATAACCTATCTTCTTTACTCTTATTTCCCCGGACCTCCTCATACCTCCCTTCTTTGTATTCCAATTCCATTTGTTGGTTCAGCAAATCCTTACCATTAATCTTTTACCCAATTTTTAACCTTTTCTTTTCCATGTCTCTTAAAGCATTACAGCTAAAAACCTCTTAGTTTCTATCCAACATCCTTCTAAAGTTCCTTAATTTTGCAATATTTCTGTAAATAGTCCTTAAATTTTTTCCAGTCTTCTTTCACCGACTCTTCTCCCTGGTCTCGGATTCTGCCGGTCATTTCCGCCAATTCCATGTAGTCAATCACCTTCATCTGCCATTCTTCCAAAGTGGGTAGATCTTGTGTCTTCCAATACTTTGCAATAAGTATTCTTGCTGCTGTTGTAGCATACATGAAAAAAGTTCTGTCCTTCTTTAGCACCAGTTGGCCGACAATGCCCAAGAGAAAGGCCTCTGGTTTCTTCAGAAAGGTATATTTAAGTACCTTTTTCAGTTCATTATATATCATTTCCCAGAAAGCCTTAATCTTTGGGCATGTCCACCAAAGGTGAAAGAATGTACCTTCAGTTTCTTTACATTTCCAACATTTATTATCGGGCAAATGATAAACTTTTGCAAGCTTGACTGGGGTCATGTACCACCTGTATATCATTTTCATAATATTCTCTCTTAAGGCATTACATGCCGTAAACTTCATACCTGTGGTCCATAACTGTTCCCAGTCAGCGAACATAATATTATGTCCAACATCTTGTGCCCATTTAATCATAGCAGATTTCACCGTTTCATCCTGAGTATTCCATTTCAACAGCAAGTTATACATTCTTGATAAATTTTTAGTTTTGGGTTCTAACAATTCTGTTTCTAATTTTGACTTTTCCACTTGGAAGCCTATTTTCTTATCCAAATTATATGCCTCCATTATCTGATAGTAGTGGAGCCAATCTCTCACTTTATTTTTAATTTTTCAAAACTCTGCAATCTCAATTTATCTCCTTCTTGCTCCAAAATTTCCCAATATGTCGGCCATTTGGCCTCCATATTGAGCCTTTTCAGAGCTTTTGCTTCCATTGGTGATAGCCACCTTGGGGTTTTATTTTCCAATAAGTCTTTGTATCTTATCCAAACATTAAACAATGCCTTCCTAACAATATGGTTTTTGAATGCTTTGTGTGCTTTGACCTTATCATACCATAAATATGCATGCCATCCAAATACATTGTTAAAACCTTCTAGATCCAAAATGTCTGTGTTTTCAAGAAGTAGCCATTCTTTCAGCCAGCAAAAAGCTGCTGATTCATAATAAAGTTTAAAGTTTAAATTTAAAACTATGCAATCAGCTTAATTCAACCTCTATAAGAAGCTGATCTGAAAGACATTTGCTTTGTGCCTTTGACAGCAGCTTATTCTGTGACATCAGCAGGTGAAGCTCCTTGTGGTGTGAAGAGAAACATTGACACCTCATAATGTCCACTGATCAAGCTGCTCTTTAAAGCACATATATGAAAAGCCGTAAGTGATGGTACAAAATGGTAACTTTAACTGACAAGCAGGTGATGCTGGACTCTGAATTTTTCCTCCTAAGAGCAGCTGGGAGGAGCTGCAATCCACAGCAGGAAAATGACTCAGGAGGAGGAGATATGTGCTGCCCTTTCTTCAGAAATGCTGCCTGATCCAATCTAAACATTAATATAACTTCTCCATAGTGGCTGCTGAGACTGAGACAACAAGGGAGATTATTGTACTATTGTTAATCAATGATATAAATAATTTATTAATGATACAAACCCCTCTTAGTTATTCCTCTCATCACCCACTCATAAACACCCTCTCAGTGTTCCATGCATGCTATATTCTACACGTATTATGTCTTATTAATTTTATAGCAAAATCACTCTAAAATCTCCTAACCAACCTGTGCAAAACGTAGGCCCAAACTACAGACTCCATTCTCTGACAGCATGCAGGGAAATCAGGTGGCTGCTGTGCAAATTGATGCCCAGGGCTCCATACTATCCTCCACTGCAGTGCTGTGCTCATTTGACAGAGGGAAATGACGGAAGTTGCAAGGGTGTCTGTGCAGGGATCCTAAGCACTAAGTGAGCAAAGATGTGTGGGATAGAAGTTAAGATGGGTGCCTTGACTTAACAGCGTCATCCTTGGCATATAGTGCATAGCACACACACACACAGCACTCACAAGAATCAGATATACCCACATTTCCAAAGAATTGTGTATATCCAATTATTAGGGCAGGTGGGAACCTGGAACAATAAGAATAATTTTTTTCTTCTCACACAGGGCTCTGGGGTTTGGTGAACAATGCAGCCATTGCTGCCCCATCAGCTCCCAGTGAGTGGCTGACCAAAGATGGCGTTGCAAGGATGATCGGTGTCAACTTTCTTGGGATGATTGACATGACGCTACACATGCTGCCCCTGGTGAGAAAAGCCAGAGGGAGGGTGGTCAACATGTCCAGTATGGCGGGACGACGGGCATGCTTTGGAGTACCCTATACCGCATCCAAGTACAGCGTGGAAGCCTTCTCTGACATCCTGAGGTAAACATGATAGTTCTGTATCTTCCTCTTTCTCCTTGCTTTAGTGGGATGTCTGCTTCTCCAGCTAAGTTTCAAGCAGAGGACAGCAATGAATAAAGAGCAGGTGCTGGGACATGTGGACTGCACCAGAGACTTACCAAGTAATCAGCAGGGGTTTGCACACCTAAGTCAGCTCTTTTTCTTGAGGAAACAATTTAATGTACCAACAAGAGTTGTAAGCACCAACCTCCTGGTGGCTGCCTCTGAATATGCCTGATGCCGGGTCATAGACAATGCCCTGGTGCCTCAAGACAGAAGAAGACAGGAAGCTGCATTTCACCACATCTCCCTCTCTCCCTTCTTTCTTCTTCTTCTTCTTCTTCTTCCTCTGCTTGTTCTTCTTCTTCTTCTTCAAGGAAAGATGTTCTATTCCATGGAAGCCAAATCATGATCTTCCGTATTATTCTGGTTCAGTAACAAGACGTGTTTCTTTATTTTTCCTCCTCAATTCAGGCGAGAGATGCATCCTTTCGGGGTCCGAGTCAGCATTATTGAACCCGGTTTTTTCAAAACACCCATTCAGTCAAACATGATAGAGAGCTACAAGAATGCATGGAGCCAAGCCCCTTCTGACATCAAGGAAGCCTATGGGCAGTGCTACTTTGAGCGCAGTGAGTAGAAATGGGCGGGGGGAAGAATTCAGTTTGGTTTGCAATGTGCGAAAGCCTGCATTTAAAGCATGTGCTAATAAGTCCCACTGTTGCAGTGGAACACACACACACACACACACACAGAGAGAGAGAGAGAGAGAGAGAGAGAGAGACTGACCCTGAGACCCACCAGGCTAAATTGCTGGTTTCCAAATCCCACCCATCAGTAAGATGTTGTTATGATTCCCAAGCTTTTTGACTACATTCCCCCTCCAATGGACACACTGACACATGTGTGTGTGTGTGTAATCTCCCCCCTCCCCCCCTTTAAAAACATACAAGGCTAAATTTTGTACACTGTACTGGCCAATATCCTAAAAAAAATTTTTTACCATTTACCCTTTCAGTGACTGAGGTTGATGGAGATGGGGGGGCATGAAGTCTATTTACAGTGCTCATTATATTTAGGAGTGGGGGCAGAACCTAGCTAATGTGACACGTTCAGGTCTGTATCTGGAGAGATATGAAATCGCACCCATTCCTATCCTGTCGTTTGATCTTTGATTCAATTTGGCATACAGTGGTGCCCCGCAAGACGAATGCCTCGGAAGACGAAAAACTCGCAAGACGAAAGGGTTTTGCGGTTTTTGAGGTGCTCGTAAGACGAATTTCTCTATGGGCTTGCTTCGCAAGACGGAACGTCTTGCAAGTTTGTTTCCTTTTGAAGTGGGAACTGGGCTGGCAGGGAGCGAGCAGGGGAGCGGCCTACCTTTCCCAGAGGGATCCTCTTCTGGAGAGGGCACAGAGGAGGCAGGTGAGCTGGGATCCAGCGGATCTGGCTGGGTCTCTGTGCCGCCTCTGCCTCTGCCTCTCTCTCTCTCCCCCTCCCCACGTGGCTGCTCCATTTTGCTCTAACTGCGCGAAGGCAGGAGGAGGCGGGACAAAGGAGGAGGAGGAGGAGGCATCCACTGTGCTTGGGCGGCCGCAAAGGCGCCTTTGCGGGGGTGGGAAGAAGCCGGGAGCAGCTGCCAAGACTGTGGGGAGCCCGGCGGCGTGGCGCAAGGTAACGGGGGGAGCAAGGGAGAGTCCGCGCCGGGCGCTTCGTGCGTCCGCCCTCGGTTCCTGGGCTCAAACTTCCTTTGGCACCTCATGGAGAGAGAGGGAGAGGAGCGGGCTGGGGCTTTGATGTGGGACGCGGTTTGGCGGAGCGAAGACGCGGCAAGGCTTGGCGACAGAGGAACGGGGGCTGTTTTCATGGGGAGGTGGGAGGGGGTGTCTTTGCCTCTTCCCGGCAACAGATCCTCCAGGCTGGGGAAACTCCTCCTGCTGGGGAGCGACCCGCTTTGTGCTTTGCCCGCTATCCCATTATAATACAGTACCAGGGTGCATCCGTGCTTCGCAAGACGAAAAAATCCGCAAGACGAAGAAACTCGCAGAACGGATTAATTTCGTCTTGCGAGGCACCACTGTATATGATACATAAGGAGACACATAGAAGGGAGAGAGAGAGATGGCCCTAGTGGGACCAACTCAGCCCAACACTGCGCTTGTGGAGCAAAGGACCTTGGGCGGGTGGGGCCAGCAGGGTGCTGCTCTGGGCTCCTTGTTTACTGCACGGAAAGGGAAGCACAATCAGTTGTGGGAGATGGAGAGGAGACACAAAGAGACAGTTATGAGGAGATTTCACCCCTCCCATATCCAAGAATCTCCTGAGGAGTCTGCTGATTCTCCAGAGAGGAGGAAGCGTGTTCTGCTCTCTACTTATTTTGCTCCAGCACCAAATCAGTCAGTCAGTCAGTGTCGGAGACTGAGTGTTAGAGATCGTGTGTAGAGATAAGGTTGCTGCTAAGAGCAGCTGCAGACACTCAGTGCGGTGCAGCATTCATTTATGCTTAGACCTATTTAGCTCTGTATATAGTTTGTATAGTTGTAGATAGAATAAAAGAAGATATTCTACAGAGCTGCTCTCCGAGTTGTTTATATACTCTGCTAGAGTCTGCTGTACTCTGCTTTGCGACGACTGTCTTCTTGTTGGAGTGGATCCGGTGCTCACAACTCTAAGCTGTGAGTCCACAGCACTTTGACCTGTTCCTGTGCAGAAGGTTTTCTCTGGAAGTGCTACCCAGCTCGCCTAGCCCAGTCGGGGCTGAAGTGGATGAGTCCAGTTGGTGGCACTGGCTCAAGGGCGATGCTGACAAGTTATACACACATAAGCACACACACGGTCGTGTCCAGCGGAGAAAAGGGAAGAGATTACCAAGGGGGGGGGAGAGAGAGGGAGAGAGGCGCACAGACACCCACACCAAAACAGCACCCGCTACCCGCTTGATCCTGGGAGGCAGCTCTAAGAAAGGAGACCAGTTAATGCTTTTTTAAAAAGCCGCAGAGAGGGAGAGGAGCTGGGCTGCCCCAGTGGCAGAGCTTCATGGTCCGGCACAGAGGGGGGAGGCGGAGAGCAGGTGGGGGCAGGCTGGGGCAGGGCGTGTGTCCTGGGGGTGTGGCGGGGGGGAGCAGCCGCGATGGCACCCCACCGGGATCGCGCTACTTCTTCCTCTGCTAGTGGGTTGCGCGGGCCTGAACCCGGCATATGGCAACCCTTACCTAGATACAACCATTGAGCCCCACTTACTGACTGAAATACATATTGACACTGTCTAATCACCTATTGCTAAAGGTTTTTAATTCTGGTGCTGGAGGAGACTCTTGAGAGTCCCATGGACCGCAAGAAGATCAAACCTCTCCATTCTGAAGGAAGTCAGCCCTGAGTGCTCACTGGAAGGACAGATCCTGAAGCTGAGGCTCCAATATTTTGGCCACCTCATGAGAAGAGAAGACTCCCTGGAAAAGACCCTGATGTTGGGAAAGATGGAGGGCACAAGGAGAAGGGGATTACAGAGGATGAGATGGTTGGACAGTGTTCTCAAAGCTAGCAACATGAGTTTCACCAAACTGCGGGAGGCAGTGGAAGACAGGAGTGCCTGGCGTGCTCTGGTCCATGGGGCCACGAAGAGTCGGACACGACTAAACAACAACAATCAGCTGCTGCTAAAGGTTCTGTCTTAAAGCAACAGAATATGTTCCCGATGCCCCTCCTTAGATTTAGACCTCCTAGGCAGAGAAATCCAGAAGCTAACATATCCTTTCAGAACCCAAAATATTTAGGTTATCTCCTGTGAAGTTATAGGGCAGCATACAAATTAAATAAATAAATAAATGCAGAAATAAATGCATATATAATTTTGTACCACTAGCTTTTCTCTTGTTTCCTATATCACAGGTCTCAAATTATTGAAATTCTTCTCCTTCACCGGCAGCAGCAACTTTCAACCGGTCACGGACTCTATAGAACATGCCCTGACCTCCTGCTCCCCTCGCATCCGTTACTGTCCAGGATGGGATGCCAAACTCTTATACGTTCCTCTGTCTTACTTGCCAGCCTCCATTTTTGACTTCCTGTGGAGATGCATTTGGCCCAAACCAGCACAAGCCGTGTAGAATATTCTGAAGAAACATGTCAGTTCTCCAAATGAACCAAGGAAGTCTTTGCACTATTAACGATGTTCCGTTGTTTCTCTTTTCTGAAGTTCTAAACCAGTGGTTCTGATACTTTTCTTCCCACGGACCACTTGAGAATTGCTGAAGGTCTTGCAGGACCATGGTAGGGTGCTCAGGGATTTTTAATTGTAGTTTATTCCTTCTTTTATTTCTTTATATATACAATGTATTTTATTGCATTACAAATTCTAGAGTAGTAGTCTATTAAAATATTTATCTTTTTTTTTAATAATATTTATTGCTTTTAAACCTTACAAAAAGAAGAAAAGAAAAGAAAAAAGAAAAGAAAAAGAAAAGCAGAAGAAAAAACAATACAATACAATATATAAACAATACACAACACAACATTAACATTAACACTTTAAACTAAACAAAAGCAAAAAACAGTTCAAAAAACACACATCATACCATCTCAATATCCTCTCTTTCATTCCCTTGTTTCATCGGGCGCCTCTCGCCTCCCTTTTGTATTCCATTTCTATTAATTGTTTCAGCAAATCCTTTCCATCTTTCTCTATTTTCTGTCAGGTAATTATCTTAACCTATTTTGACCTTATTTTCCATTAATACTAGAATACTTATTTATGCTTAATTCCTTAAAACATTTCTACTAAAGCCGTATAATTCCCTTCCAACATTTTTCTAACACTCATTAATTTTACATTATTTCCATATATAAATTTTAAACTTTTTCCAATATTCTTCCACCGTCTCTTCTCCCTGGTCTCGGGTTCTGCCAGTCATTTCCGTCAATTCCATATAGCCCATCAACCTGGTGATCTTCTGTCCGAGGCTCTTAACTCTTTTCCAGGTCCCTTCTGCAAGTCTTCTTCATATTTATACATGCACTTTACTTTGTCTTCTCCTGATCTTGTTCTTATTTTCCTTCCTTTGACGCTGAAAAGTAGATCTCGGGGAAATTCCCATCTAGCAATGTTTTTATTCCTTCTCGACAAGTCAGCCAAATCTCCATAATTAAAACTGAAGTTCAAAAGATATTTCCAGTCGTGTTTCAAAGTTCCTCCAAGTCTGGCGGTCCCCACAACTCCAGTCTCCTCCTGACCCAAGTCCAGGTCCCAAAGGTCAATAAATCCCTGCATGAGGGGATCTATCCAACTTTCTTTCTCCAGTCCAAGCAGGGCTCCAATCCTAAAAGTCTGACTTTCTCTAAATTCAGACTTGAAAGGCATCAACTTATAATCATCAAATTGCAACTGTAAGGCTGGGGCTCTCTCCCTCTCCACTTGTGCCACTTTAGGTTCCACAGCAAAAACTTTCTCCCCCGCCTTCTCCTCAATTTGCCATGTCAAAATGGATCCCTGTATCGATTCCTGAATAATTTCTGTATTAATATTCACTTTTTGTGCCAAATTAGTCACTTTTTGTTCCAAGTTATCAATTTTTATAGTCCTCGCGTCCGTCTTCTTATAAAGCTGTTCCAGTGAATCATTAATCTTACATAATGCAACCGCTAAGACTTCTTCTGTCAACATTCTTAACGGTCCAAGGTCAATCCCAGATTCTCACAGTTTTATCTTGCAGGTGGAAATTCCCCCAGCTCAGCTCTTGTAACAATTTCAAAGGCTTCCTCTAGGGGGAAACAATTTCTATTTGTATCAATCCTTTTAAGCACAGTTCATACAATAAAGTTAGTTTCAATTTTCAATTACTTTTACTCCTTTTTAAACGCAGAAGGAGACAATGGAAACATTGTATTTCTCTTCTTTAACTTACTGTCAGCAGACAATCTATTCACAGTTAATGAGCATATTCAAAACTTCCGTCTTACTAGCAGCCCGTTTCCAGGTTCCGAGCGGTGGTAATTTGACTTTCTTCACTCTCTCCTGCAGGCTTACACGATCTTAAATTTCCCCCCTCTTCTCCTGCTTCCAAGGGGGGTTTGATGATTTAACCGATGGAAGTTTAATCCTTTATGAAAGGCTTTCCAAGACTTTAGCTTGCAGTCTCTTTGCTTCAATCTATTTACAAAAGGGGAAGGCTGACTTCCTGTTTGAAACCTCCCCGTTTCGGTGCCAAATTAAGACATTTAAAAATCCAATTTTCTGTTCTACTCACGGGTAGTTGTTTTAAGATCAAATTGTCCACAGGAAAAAGTCAGCACTCTCCGGCAACAGGAATGCGGCTTCACTCCGTGAAAGAAGCAGTCAATTCGAAGCACCGCGCCACTGACCCCACGTCGCTCCGGATCCCCGAAACCGGGTTTCCCCGCGAGTAGGGGAGGCGCAAAAGGTGCCAGCCGAATCCCACGTTCACAGGCTTCTCCCGCCTGTGATTTTTGGTGGGTCCTGCCTTCGCCGTGGCGGCCAGACCCTAATTTCCACGAAGCAGATTCCTCCCGATCAGAGGAGTTCAGCCATTACCGGAGGCGCTAACCCGGAAGTCCTATTAAAATATTTATCTGTTGCAATGTAATGTCCTACTCAGTGAGGATTTCTCTTACACCACACAGATGCACCACTGAAAAACTGGTTTGATGTGGCATCTGGCCTATAGTTGCAGTAAAGAAATTAATACCTTTGGTCGAACCCCAAAGTACACTGAGTTAAAGGCAGGATCATGATATTACCTCAGGGTTAATCTCAGTGTCCCAATAACTTTCTCATGAATGCGTTTGGCTGCAAGGCAGTGGAGGTTTAGAACCAGAGTTTTCCTTCTCCAGGACTGGCTACCTTCCCTTTTGGAAATGCATGGGACCCTGTCTCAGTTCTGGCAGCAACAACCAGGGTCGCCCAGAGTCAATGGGGAAATAATATGTCTTTGTTTAGCTCCATGAGTAAGGAAAAGGGGGTGGATTCTGAGCACCATGAGGGTGGGGTGGGCCCAGAGATTCTGAAGGCAGTGTGGGATATAAAGCTGTCAGTCAAGTCCAACATTCCAAGAGGACTAACTGCCTCTATGTGGCAGGCAGTTTTGTCAGTTGGTTGGTTGGTTGGTTGGTTGGTTGGTTGGTCGGTTGCTGCTAACTGGTAACTGCTCGCTTGCAGTCTTCTCATGATTCACTACTATCTAGTATATAGTTTATCTGTTATGTAACCTGAACCTGCCTTCAGGAACCACTCTGTCAACCTGAATGAATCTGAAAGTAAAGTAGTTTATGTTAATATGATTCAGATTCATATGTGTTTTCTTTAAGAGGGACAGAAAGGGATTATCAACTAGGAAGGTATAATTATTGATAGGACTCAAATGAGTTAGCAACCCGCTTGTCGCTGCATATACTCAAACAGGGGATCATTTAAACGCTTCCACAGGAAGTGCCCCCAGATAAAGCCCAGTGGCAAGATTTTGAGTTGGAATACGGGGCAGGGGATGTCCAGGGAGGAGATTCCCCATGGGCCAGAGAGGAGGCAGCTGGGATTCTGTGTTTCAAGCAGCTGGAGAAATTGTCTGGGGGTGTGAGACTGGAGGCCCTGACCCACAATCCAGAAGGAAGGGGGGCAGAGGACTGGACCCAACATGGACTGAGAACTGTGTTCGATATACTCAAGGGGAAGAAGAAGAAGAGGAGGGGGAGGAGGAGGAGGAGGAGGAGGAGGAGGAGGAGGAGGAGTTTGGATTCGATATCCCACTTTATCACTACCTGAAGGAGTCTCAGAGCGGCTAACATTCTCCTTTCCCTTCCTCCCCCACAACAAACACTCTGTGAGGTGAGTGAGGCTGAAAGACTTCAAAGAAATGTGACTAGCCCAAGGTCACCCAGCAGCTGCATGTGGAGGAGCGGAGACGCGAACCCGGTTCACCAGATTACAAGTCTACCGCTCTTAACCGCTACACCACACCCGCTCTCCCAAAATTCTGGGAAAACCTAGGCAGGCTACCACAAAGCGGGGGGAGAGAGGTGAAAGCTAAGAGAATACGTAAGGTGTGGGTGGGTTGGTTGGTTGGTTGGTTGGTTGGTTGGTCATCATAACCTCCAATCCCCTACACTCATCCTTCTGAATTTTTGCAAGTTACCTTCCTATGAACACCTTTATGATGTATGAGCAGACCCCAGTTAAGAAACTTGGGTGCAGCAAGATTAGGATCTGTCGTCTTCACAGAAAAGATCTGGGGCATTCTAGGTACATGGGATGTGGTGGAGGCTGGTCCACTAGGTCTACTGGAACCCTGACCTACCAAGTCTTTCCCCATCCACCATACAAATGATTGGACACCTTTTTCTATTCCTACATATATCAGAATAGAGGGAAAGGGTTGAACAAATTCTTTTTTTAAAAAATATACATTTTTATTAGTTTTTACATATATTTTCCAAACAGAACATATCATCTCATCTCATTTTATACAACATTTTGGCTATTTTAGCCTGAGACTTCCATCAACCACGTCTAATGATTTTCAAACCTCATCTCTTAATCTTACATTTGTTATCCTATCTTTTACTTTTAACCATCCATAACTTAAAGTCCATTCTCATAAATCTTTTCTGCAATATTTCATATAGTTCTCCTTACAAAACTTCTTGTGGTCCTACAAGCGTAGTCAGTTGGTTACAATTGTCTTTCAGGTAACTCGTATATTTACTCCAATTTTTCAAGAATTTCTGGTCCCGCTGGTTTCGAATTCTCCCTGTCATCTTATCCAATTCTGCGTAGCCCATCAATTTCATCTGCCATTCCTCTTTCACCAGTAGTTCTTCCTGCTTCCATTTCTGTGCCAATAATATTCTTGCAGTAGTTGTCGCATATAAAAACAGTTTTTTATCTTGTCTTTTCATGTCAGAGCCTACAATACCAAGTAAAAATGCTTCTGGTTTTTTTTATAAATGTAAACATCTTTTTCATCTCATTATAAACCATTTCTCAGAAACCTTTCACTTTCTTACATTCCCACCACAGATGATAAAAAGTGCCTTCCTTTTCCTTACATTTCCAACATTTATTGCTTACTTTATACATTTTAGCTAATTTCACTGGTGTAATATACCATCTATACATCATTTTCATTACATTTTTCCTTCAAAGCATTGCATGCAGTAAATTTTGTTCCTTCTTTCCATAATTTCTCCCAGTCTTTTAGCTGTATATTATAACCAAAGTCTTTGGCCCAATGTATCATAACCGACTTAACCTCTTCATCTTTCAAATGCCATTCCAACA